AGATCCGACCCCAAAAATTAATAGAATAGATTAAATCATAAATCTAATTATTCATTTAAAAAAAAAATTACAAAATAAATATATAAATAATTATGAATAAAATTTTAATTATCATATAATCCCATACTTCATAAATATTATTATAAAATATATAAATTATATATCTTATTATATTTCATAAATTTTTATTTTTATCTCCTTATATTATACGAATAAATTAGAAATTTTCTAATTTCTAAGATCAATCTATTCTATATTATTCTTCATGAAAATAATTTATTAGAATTCATATTATAATAGTTGGGAAAAATTAATAAAAAGAATTTCAAATTCCTATATTTCCTAAAGATTGAGAATTCAAGTAATACAAGAATAAGATAGCTATTCGATATCATAATATAGATATATAAGTATGAATATACTTGCATATCTCTATCAATGCTATTGCGGGATCCGGCTACCAATTCCAAGGGCAAGCCAGAATTATTCTATTATTTAATGCTACAAATATATTAACCAAAGCCTGAAACCGCCCGAATACAGGCCTCTCCAGCGAGCTTATATAACCTGTAAAGATATTTCAGCTATTTTTGATTTTAATGAAGACCTTTTTTCAAGCTGAGTCTTCTGCCGTTGGTATCGCCCTCAGGGCGTTCCTAGGCATGAAATCTTGCTTAAGCTCGTCCGCCTAGAGCAAGAACTGTACATCTACACAAATAAACGAAACAGATCTTGATCCTGCTTGGCTTGGTGCCGAGAGCACTAATACGCGCGACACACTCAACATCAAGCTGTCAACTTTACATCTTTGCATATCTGTACATTTCGATAAGCATGCAGTAGGGTCCGGTAAGGCCTCCGAATTCAGCTCTATGAATTTTAGGCAGTGTCAAATTTTCGCCTCAGCTCCTGCAACACCGTGCTGGGGATGATGTCCTGGCGTCTTTCGCATGAAAACCAATTCTCATGCAGATGCCGTTGCAACTTTCGAAGCCTGGCTCTCCAGCAAGTTGTAATGCTCGTGATCGAGAACATGCCTGAGCGTGATGTGACCAACGCGACACACACGTACAGCCAGGCACGATTCTTCACACTGCTTGCAGGCTTCACTATTTCCAGATCGTTGTAGAACTGCTTGTTGACCTGCCAAATGCCCAAATGTCAAAGTCTCCCATCTGCACTCTTCTGACAATCTTTGTCACCACCCACTGCTGCCCCTTTCCCGGACTTTTTCCAACGGTCAGAGAGAGGGATACTTTTGCGACATATATATATATATATATTTATTTGTATGTGTGTGTATACATATATGTAACTGCAAACACCAGCAGCAGCTCACTTGCAAGCGCACGAATGCACACACACACACACAGACACAGAGGCCACTCAACCAACCACTCAACCAACCAACCAACCAAGCAGACAGGCAGGCAAGCAAACACCAGCACAAATTTTCATTCTGCCAGTCACGACCCCACACCACATGAACAGTAAACATGAACACGAAAAGGATCACAGTCGTGGTGCTAAAGAGCAACACGACTTCAATATTTTCAATGTCGGACAACGGGCCCTAAAATGCGCTGCAGCTGCAAATCCATCAAAGCTGCAGCCAGGGGGTCGCAGGTGGGTGTCCAGTCTCGGAACAAGTGTCCTGTTCCTTTCATCCGCACCAAGACAAAGATCAGCATGTGCGACGAAACAGTTGGTGGTTTCTGTCTAAGGGCAGACATCACATTAATGGTGCCTTTGGAGACAGATGATGGTTCCCAAGCCCACGTCGGGCCTCAACGCAGCACGAGAACTCCTTGCTGTTGGAGACGAATAGCATTGCCGCTGGCAACTTGCCAGGTTGATAGGTATGCCGATCGAAGAAGTTCTTGCTGTCCATATACCTGCATCGACTTGTTTTTTGCGGCTGTATTATGCACAGGCAGTCCTGGGCCATGCCGCCGAGCTGCCCACGTCCGGTCGCCTCCAACGTGCAGCTGCGCATCACGAGTCGCTCATGAAAGCCTGAGTTCAAACAACACCTGTGACACATATCCTTCTGCGCTCCTGAGTGCGGCAAATGACTATTGTATACTAAGTGCATGCATGCATGACTCTCGACTGCATGTGGGGGTGCATACAGAAAATGGACATACAAAAAAGCAAACATTGACCTTTCTGTGTGCAAACGGATGCATTCGTATGTTTTGAACGTTCGTCGAGCAACTGAGCAGCGGCATTACTTTTCCTACGACCGCAGCGTGGGACTTGGTCGAGCACGTTCAGATCAAGCGGGGGATAAGAACGTCGAAGGATCTTCGCCGTCAAAATTGTCCCCGGATGAAGAAACCCTTGAAACAGGTGATTCGAACACACCAATACTCCCCGGCCCAAAACTCACCATGAGGACCGAGCCTCAAAAGCAATCCCAACCCAGACGATACTGCTCGCCCGCTCACCACATAACGGTGGATCTGCCCGGATAGGATCAATCAAAGCACGATCGGCATGAAACCCCAAGATAAACGCTATCTCGACAGGAGACATGTATTCTTGCACGTGTTTACGGGATCACCTGGCGAACAACGTACAGTTTGGTGACACTTCAGAACAGAAATGTCGGGGAGCAGCAAATCCTGGAAAGCGATTCTGCTGACCTTGGCGCCGTTCAGCTTCATCCTTTCGCCATGGTGGACACTCATTCGAGCTGATGGCACGGCAACAACTTGCAGTATACTTGTGTATCATTTGGATCACTGGGAATCGCCAATGCTAGATTGCGAGGTGATTTGATGCTGCCAGTGACAGTATTACACAACAACGATCACTCGAAGTGCCTGATCACGGCCTTCACACGGATTCAGGCTTGAAGTGTACGCTATATTGAGAACTTCCTCTGAGCTATGATGCCGCGGACCATCGCCCCCTTCCCCTTTTGGTCAAAGGAAGGTCGGCACAGAGTTACCGGACGTCCAGGGCCGCCGTGCCGAGCGCCGGACCCGAAAGTGAGCAGCCACCGCGTCCCACAAACATACAAATAAACACATGACTTCCCATGTGCATGCATGTACATATGTGAGTGTAAACACAGGTATTCGCATTGATGTTCATAAAACTTATATACATATGTACTCTGGCTATATGCAGACTGTTCAGCATCAAGCGAAGAAGTAGAACAGTAGTTATACACATCTGACCACGTCTGTATCCAGTAATCTTTATTCCTACCTCTCTCGCACACAACTCTGCCCAGAATGCGGCCTGTCAGAGGGTGCACAAGAAGCTCTGCTGCATCCGTGTCAACCTGCTGCCGGGCCACCCATGTTTGCCGAAAACTCGCTGATCATGGAGAAATAAATCTCCATCGGCATACTGCTCGGGCGGGCCTCGCTCGACACGGCGACCGATCTTTAACTACGTCATGCGCTTGCAAATCGACATCATCCAAAGCCTCTTCCTGATTCTGACTGACACCATCCTATGCTGCTTGCCCGGTAGCTTTCGTGAGAACGAAGCCTTTCAGCTCGTGCTCTCGCCTGAAGCAGGGCGGAGGAAGGAACGACAGCGACTGCGTTGAGTTCTGGAGAAAGTCCCGTCTCTGCCTCTGCGGATCGGACATGTCGTGAAGCAACTTCCTGTGTGCAGCATGTTCTGTATGCATGTGCTCGAAAGCGTGGGATACTCTGTCCTGCAGTATTCGGCATCCTCCCTGTGCGAGAACATGTGTCTCCTTCTGCTCAGACAGGGGGGAAGCTGATTGTCCCCTGCTTCTGCAAATCTGTTATGTCAGGCTGCTTTCCAGTGAGCGGGGCTCTTTAGCATCGCTAACGGGGACGAACATGCCATCACACAAGCAGCCATCCATGAAGCTGCTGTTGACCGTCTGCGCTAAGTCTTAGTCAATGATCGGATACGGGACGCATGATCAAACAGAACGCGCTGTAGCATCCCAGCTCCTCAGCAAGATCTTGTATGCCTCGGATGCACATATTGCTTCAGGCAGAACCATCGGGCACACATGTCATGTGGCCTTGGCGAAATCTGCCTAGGATATACGAATTTCACGCGCGAACTCTTACATTGCTTCTAATACGTGGCTACATGTCCGGAGCTGTGAGTTTGGTTTCGGAGTGGAGATACCACAATATGTTTCCTTGGGCTAGAAGGTGATGGCGAAGACCTTGCAAGTCATGACAAGGCTGGCGGTCAGGATGCCTCCATCTCCGGGCCTTCCCAGCTACCCATGCGGCAGCGGTCTGTGAACTCATCGTCACTGGGGTTGTCCATGAAACGCTCCGGCGGGTATGCCACCTCAAAAGGGTGAAATTGCGCTGCGCCTGTAGTTCAAATCGCACTTAGACTCAAACAACACTTGCCGCCTCAAAGTCACCGAGGAAAAGGGTCACTGCAACTCCTCACGGCTAGACAAACAATGAGACCCCGTATGGTTCAGCGAGGAGGCTCGACGTTTTCGGAAGAAGAGGTAGTGTGGGGGGGCGGAGCTGTCCCATAGTACAGTGCCGGTCTGCAGGGCCACTATGGCACAAAGCCAGCAAGCGACCGGTGCTGGTAAAAGTGCCAGGGCCAGGGAAGGACATCTGCGGACGATGGAGCCTATGCGCAAGATAGTCCTGTAGGGGGGCCCCCTGTGTAGGAAGAGACTACAGCGACATCACATTCCAGCAATGCGTATGCAAATTCTCGCGGGGATGGCGCGAGCATCACTGCTTAGGATTCATTAGGGTTTTCTGCCTTCTGGCTCAGGACAGCTCCCTAACACCCGTCGACATGTCCTTTCTGCTCCAGTAGCTCTGCCATCTTGTGGGCAACCATCGCGCCAAACGAGTGGCCGTAGATGTTGTAAGAGCTGTAGCCAAACCCTTGGCACAAGCATTACTAGACGCCGGAGACAGTTTGTTTCCCATGCCAAATGCGATTTCCTGCAAAGACCGGTGTGTCGCGCTCGAACTCTGAAAGCATCGCATTCCAACCTTGCAGGCCTAGCATCGAGCTTGCAAGGTTTCGACGTGCAGTTGGGCAAGATCCTCAAGGCTCGAGCAAGCCTGACGAACCGCCGCCGTCACCTCACAACGAACAACTTGATGTCCAGCATTAACACAGTCTTGGGAACGAGCGCCAGTGAAAGACTTTCCCACACTCTTCCCGCCATCTTTCCAGTATTGCAGCACCAAGCTGAAGCTGATGTGATAGTTCGTGCCGGCTCGCAAGCGTTTGGGCTCCCACCGCTGGCAGACCCCCCCCTTTCCCAGCGTCGGCGAATGCGGCATTAGCCCTTGCAGGAGATTTGTCTCAGTTCGGTAAGCTAAGGCAGAAGTGGCACTCGGGGGTACTCAGGGCATTACTCATCCTGCACTGGCATTTCATGCGCACTGCCTTGAGGGCATAGACTGCCACTTCGCCAGACAGCCTGCCAGTGAGGGCGAGAACTCTCCGCCCAAGCAACACTCGCTCGAGGTCTGATGCACTTGTTGTGTATCGGCCTCATGGCCAGTGTCTTGAACTGCAGAAACAGAGGATCGCCTTCCTCGGATGAAGACGTTGAGTCGAACGCGCGGTCTTTGCACTGATCACTCGAGACTTTCTCAACTTTCCTCCAATGATTGCTCACGGAACCCACAGGTCAAGGCGTCATCGTGTCTGCTGCCAGATGTCAATCCCGTGCACTCCAATCAGTGTGTTTGTCGAATCCTCCGCTTCCAAGGACGTGAGGGCCTGCAGCGTCTCTATCTCCTGATATACAGTTCTTGGCATGTCTCGGTCTCATGTTTCGGCTGGCACACAGCAAGTCCTGGGGCGCGTGTGGCACATGACCCGGCGTCAGGGGAGCTTTCTGCAACTGCTGGGCGATCATGGCAACCGTGGCCTGTCGCACGAGCTTCACTGCTCGTCTCTGGCATATCCCAAAACTAAAACCCAGCATGTGTACGCCTCCAAACAACCTGTATTCTCCGACACCGACACGGCGAGGGAATGGAGGGGGGAGTACAGCCATTTGATTTCAAAAAAACACTGGCAGCCATGCGTTTCCGTCGTAGTGCCCGGGGAGTGCAGGAGGAGTGTAGGCATTCGGCATGTTCAGGACCCAAAATTACCGAATCACCAGAAGCTGTGCTTTACTGCCGCTGCGTACCAGCATGCGAGAGAGTACGTGCTTTCGGCATTTTTATTCACCGAACTCACAGCAAGTTGTACTCCGCAGCATGCTCATGTTCATGACGAGGACAATCGAGACGAACCGAAAGGAATCCAACCTACCCTGGATTTCATGTGCTAGGCCGCCATGTTCGACGAGCTGCATCCATAGAAATGTCTCGCAGCTGGCATCGCGAGCGCAACAAGCTTGTGAACGTCGCCCACTGCAGTGAGTCCAGCTCCTTCAGTGAGCACTCAATACACATGCCAGCATACCCGTACACCTCAACGACGCATGCTTCAGACGGAGCCTGAAATGGAACCGTGGAAGGCCCGAACTCCTCTTCGTGGTAGTCTACCTCCAGCATGCACTTATTAACTATTATAACGACGAACTTTCAGTGGGCCGTGACAGGCTATCAGCAATGGTTTCACATGGTCTCTCTTTGGTTGCTCTGCAGGCTGAAGTGAAGGGCCTCTTGGAGGAGCTTCTGCACGAGGCAGAAATCCTGAGAGACAACTCACGATCAGCAGCTCACTCTGAAGGGGCCGGGTGACAGCCACGGCGCTTGGCTTGAGCTTTGCGACGGAGGCTTCTCCTGCTCGACGTCGAATCCGGGCTCCTGGAATAGGCATATAGTCCATCTTGAGAAGGTCTCATCCTCTTACAAGATGCATGCTTGAACCGTCGATGCATAATTATTTGGGGAACACAAGGACTGTGTACGTAGTCCAGATCGAGACAACCTGTGTCGCCGAAACAACAACCCCTGTGTCCTTTGAAAGCATACGGATGCTCGGCTCACGGTTGAGGGCCGAGAGGTTAAAGACCAGGCATCGAGCCACATGCCCAATACTCGAAAAGAGCTGGGGCGCCGTCACCACACCTGACACGGCAAATACGACTCGAGACTCGGGAAACAGCTTAAAGTCAGTCACTCGTCACACAGTTCATCTTTGTGTTGTGCGTTTTCATCAGAACTGTGCTGGCTGCACCCAGCCTGGTACAACAGTTGCTTTCGTGTCTGCCTCGATGCACCGAACCGCATCCTGGAAAGGCCTGGCTCACGCACCCACGTGCTACGCCCATCTATGCCCAGTGACACACAACGGATTTCCTCGGCCTGGTGTCACTTGCTGCGAGGATGATTGCCATGTCGTATTGACCCTGCAGCTGACACCTTGCACGAGATGCACCCGTTAAGGTCTGTCTGTGGGCGGGTCCAAAAACCGGAACTCGAATCGTGTTGCAAGGTTCATGGGCCATAGGCAAGTAATTCTGGTGAAGTCACAAGCGATCCGAATCAAACACCGAATGACTCGTAGTGTTAACCCCTCCAGGCTGCCGGAGTGAGCGGACTCCTCTGTTGCAGTCAGGCCGCTTGAAACCAAATTCGTGCTCGCAGAGCGTCCTGGCGAACCAAACAAACTTGGGACTGGCTTGAGGGTCTCGGGAAGCATTGGGGAGGGGGCTTACACAAAGACATACCTGCAAGACTTATCTCAGAAAGCTTTCTGCGATGAGAAGTTACGAGGTAGGAGTTAGGAGACTTTCCTCGAGAAGGTATGTAGGGCTAAATGCTCAGTCAGTGAAGCCTCCCCAATCCAAAAGTCCGCCCGACCTCCACGGCTCCGGCACTTCGCGGAGGCCCGCAGGGGCAGCCACGGCCAACACGTCCTCCCCATCCCACGTGACTTCAACCATGTCTACGCGATTAAACGTGCTTTCGACAGCCAGAAATGCATTCCGAATGCTGCCAAGGAGCCGGGTGTACGCCGTGGTCTCTCCAAACCGATGCCAGGCAAAGCTGAAAGGCTGCGTATGCTATCGGCTGGAGCTGCTTCGGGCAGTCAGCCTGCCCTCGCAGCACTCCGGACAAGGCAGACAGGGTCAAGCCATCAACGGCCATCTTGGGCATCTCGGGGAGCTTCTTCGTTAAGGTGTCCACCGCATTGAGGTAGGATGCAGCTTGAAGAGAGGCGCAGACCTCCTGCAGGCGAAGAGCTACGAAGAGTCACATGTGTGCCACGAACCCTCAAGGCTCGAGGCACCCTCCCTGGCCCGGCAGGGGTCGGGTCCCGCTTGTCCTGAACCAGCTGCGGCAGCTCATTGCTGAGCGCGAAGATGAAAGCTGTGCGCCGATGGGACTGTTTCACGACACTTGGCGGCTCCTTAACTTTCCACCATGCTACATTGAGGCGCTCATGGCTCTTCGTCTCAGAGTATACTGACCACTCTGCAACTTCGGTGCTTCAGACGCCAGGACGGCAGTGCCGATGGTTCCCGCAAAGCCGAAGGAATTGCAGCACGCTGTCAGGCGGCCCTGCAGCGCAATAGAGCTGCTCCTAAGTCCTCTCACACAGCGACGAAATAAGGCAAAGTTCACAAAAGCGAATCCTTATTCTGCCAGCTTGTGTCCCAACATCTATTCTTCACGATCCTTGACTCGTCGCAGGCACCGGCAATTTAACGCTTGTTCCCTAGCCGCGTCTTAACGGGTGCCGGTGAAGGGCAGCAGCAGCAGCCCCGTGGGCGACGTAAGACGCAAAGGGAGAGCAGGCATGTGCTACATTGAAGCATGTCTCCCCAGGAAGAGGCGACCTTGCCGCCTCCCAACCCGTCCATACAGCTTGCTTGGGTCACCGTTGTACACCCTCCATTTTTGCGCACAATCCGCACGATGCGACGGGCAATCCGGCGATACAAGTACACAGATGAAAACGAAGCTCCTCGCATCAGCTGCAGAGGACTCTTGCAATAGCAATGGCAGCGTTCATGCTGTGGGTGGCTGGTTTGTCAGGCACAAGCACTGCCGGCTTGGCTCGGCGAGAAAGGGGGTGGCCACTGCTATGCGTACCGGCTCGAGCCGAGCTGATAAGATGAATGAAACCTCGCGCGGATAGGAAATTGAGTCTAACTCTCAAGGACCGTCGCTCTACCTGCACATTCAGGTTTGTGGTGGTGCTGAATCTGCAAGCCCTCAGCAGTGAAAGCCTTACGCATACTTGCTGGCACAGCCTCTGGCAATGGCGTTGAATGCATGGGAAACTCGAGGCCAACTGCATCACCAGTCCCTGCAGCAGAGGGATAACTTGGCTGTCGCCACATCACAAGGAGCAAGTTCATCTTGGGAGAAACACGGAGAAACACCAGGCAGAGCAGCCTGCGACGAATGAGCTCAGCTGTCTGAGCTCGGCGTTCCCTGGAGCCGCCCGGCGACGGAACACAGTCAGCACCTGAAACGGTCAAGAAGCGACTGATGCTCTCAGCTTCCAGGCAAGGGCCAGGATGGTCAGGGCATGTCAAGGCGCGGAAAGGAGGCCGGCCATCCCGGAAGATGCTTCCAGATGTCCAAGGTTGGCCTTGGCAACACGTTCCAAAGACGCCATGCCAAGCCCAGGCGCCCGCGCACCTTCACCGATCCGACGAGGACAGGATTGGACTTCCGCTTGCGCCAGGTGCCGAAGACGTCCTGCAGCACCCGATCCGGCAAGCAAAGCCTCCCCAGGCCTCTGGTATTAGGGAAGAGCAAAGTCAGAATCCTGCAAAGCATGTGCTTCTGTCGCATCGCCAATTGTAGTTCCAGTGCCATGAGCTTCCACCTTGGCTCGAACTCGCGGCAGCATGGCTTGGCAATCGAATGGGCTTGAAAGGACAGAGCGTGGTTGGGTGACGGGCGTAGTTGATCTCACCGAAGCCGACATTCGACGCATCGATGCACTGATAGACCAGATCAGCTTCTGCCTTACGCTCCGGGAACCTTAGGTCAACCAAGCTGAGTCTCAGCAGTTGGCTGTCGACGAATATCCCGGCCAACGAAATTTGTGTTTAAAGGTGTTGAACAAATTCGAGGATCCGGTCTACAGTCTACGGTATTCTGACAAATTTGCAGGCAGGACGCGTCAAGTGCGAGGTCTTCCCATTGTGCTTGACCATCGTGTTGCAGATCTCACCTGGTATGCTGGTTTAGTCGGATTCTCGGTGTTGGTGGCCCGCTGGAAGGACGAAAACTGTCAGTGCTGGGTTGTTGGACTGATTCGAGAACGGTCCGCCAGTGCATCCAAGGTTCCCATAGAATCGGCAGCCTCATCTGAGGCCTCTTGTTTTTCAATTGGACTGTTGGAACAGCAGCGCATGGCGCCCAAGGCAGTCCGAGAAACTAGGAACACTGATGCGGAACCTTCCCCTCGCACGAAACCTGAGTGCAAACAAGACAAACATTTTCCGCTCCGCAGAATTACGAGTTGGTGCGACGTGGCGCATTGGCAAATGTCCGATGTGCTTAGTCAACCAAGAATTCTCCTACGACGAAGCTCACGAAACTCCGTAAGGTTGTGTGCGAAGTAGCCGTCGGCAGAGGCATCCCAGGTGTGGCCTTCGGACAAACGCATGGTGCAAGAGTGCGAGTCGCCACTGAGTGACATAGAAATATCTGCTAGTCATAGTAGGACCCTGGCATCGGCCAGTCTTCGATAGCAGGCCACTGGGTGCCTTAGTCTCTGGTCTGGACCATGTCTCAGGTTTCCTTTGGTGTTCGCCCTCCTATGGCAAGACTGAACCAGAACTTGAAGTGGAAGCAGAGCAAGACCAGGTGGCGTCAAGCGAATTGAGCAAGAACCCGCCGCGTGCTGCGCAAGCAGCAGTCTCAGGTTTACGTTTCACGTGACAGCTGACGTGAAGGGATGCCAACCTGTCATCTGTCCTCCTCCTTCTGCCACAACTGCTGTGGCTGTGACTAGCGCGATGGTTGGACGTCTACACTGCTGCTGCTGGCGCTGCCAAAGCTGCAGCTTGTTGCCAACATGGCGAGGACGAACCATGATCACCACCAACCACCCGCAACCAATCATGCTTGCCAACTCCGGGCTTGCCAGTGGCAGCTGTCACAGAAGTCCAATCTCCCAAACTGTGATAGCGGGAATTTGCAGGCTCGGCAGGGAAGAAACTGCTTGCCGGGATGGTACGAAAATGCTGTACATACCGTGCACAACGCAACCTCTGCTAAGCTCTGACACCCAAAAATCTGAAGCCCTAAGTCCCTAAAGACTAAAATACTAAAACTCAAGCTGACAGTTCTCCGTGACAGAAGCTCAGCAACACTACCTAAAGCCCAGACCTCGGCGGGGGCGGGCTCGATATTGGAGTAGCACGTGGTGTGCGCTGCGGCGTCTATGCTCCCCCATCCTGCCTTTCCTTCCATCCCGTCCACCCATCCATCCTTCTGCTTCGACTGCTACAACTACCACTGGCACTGTCACGATCACAGCCAGAGCTGCTGCTGCCTCTTACGCCGATTAGCTGGCCGCTACGACAACGAGTCACGAAGCCTTCTTCAGCTGCTCCTGTTGTTCTTGCTGCCGTTACCACTACAGTACCTAGGAAACTGTATGTATGTTGCCGCGATGCTGCCGGTGACGGCGACTGGGACAATAACATCGACAACGTGGAACCGTGTAGCACCCCCGGGGCTCCGGAAGCCATCCAAACAGTTTGCATTCACTTTGTGTACATTGAGAGATATGCTGACTATTGACGTGTTCATCCGCTCGTCGTATTGCTGCCTGCAAATGCAACTGGCAAGACGAGGAGATTGAACGGTCCCGAGATCAACAAACAACTGTCCAGGTCTCTTGTTGGAGCCAACACGAGCTCTCGCATGGGGAACGACCTACTCAGGACCTACTCCATGCAACAGACGGGAGTCGGAAAACAGTCGAAACTGCATAAACTGCATGCACCAGCAGTAACTTACTACATTGTAGGCAAGAAAGAACCACACCTGTGTTTGGCCAAATCACCATGGAGAGACTCACGTTCATGCTGGTCAAGTGGTTCACCGAGGTCGCAATCGCAGACTTGCACCGACTTCTGCGCAGCATGTGAAAAGACCTGCGACACCGTGGCACAACACGAATCATACAGTCATGAAGCATGTTGAGCACTGCAAGGCGATAGACATACATCACGGTGACGAGCAACTCATGTACTGCCACGATCGAAGATGCACAGGCAGCATCAACGCAGAAAGTCGATCCCCGGAGGTCCAACAGTTGGCTCACTCTCCTGGGCACGCTGGCAGAAACCGAAGCTGGTTTTCACCTGACACCCTTGCTTTGGCTAGCGAGGACATCTTTACTATTACCAGTCGCATCAGGAAAGCCAAAACGAGAAAGCGTAGACCTGGTGCATTTGGAACATCGTACTGGTAGGGGTTTTCCAAGAGTTATGCGGGTCACGCCGGAGCTGCAGTTTGTATTTGGAAGCTGTGCACATGTGCAGCACGGTTTCACCAGAATCACTACAGTAGATCTTGCACCCTCGGCGGGTTGCGTTTAGCCAAGCTTCCCGGCAATTGCTGATAGAGCTTTGTAAGCTCGGATGTGCGGTGGAACACCATTGACTCCATGGAAATGGCTATAGAAATCTATCTCGGCATCAGCATGGTTGACGGCAACCACGACAGGCACGTCCTGGAAACGGGAAGCTGCAGCCGCATAGCACATCGCCAGTCGCTCTCAGTATCGAGCTTCAAAGCGAAAGGCCGAAAGATGTCCTTGCCCGCCAGACTGTGAACTTTGACACCGGAATTCACGACGGCTTCATAGGCACCTGAACCACAAATTGAGCTTCAATTCTGCTTGTTCAGCGATTCAAATCTGTCTTTCGGGGCCTTCGAGAACCGCCAGCTGCTGAGGATCCATCTCCGCTGCTTCCAGCGGCGACAGCCCGAACAAGGCCCGGTCCTCGATGTGTCAGCATGCTTAGAATGCTCGAATCTGGGGCAAACTCTGAAGAAACTTCGGCCGAGGGTCGACCAGCTCCTTGCCTTCGATGAAGCCCGCGTAGGCTATCTCTGGATGCCTGGAGGGAAGAGCTCGCGCAAGTTGGAGAGACATGCGGAGAGAGGGATCTTTCGCTTGTGGAGGCAATGGGCCGGAACGCAGTCGGCGTGTACCACGGCACATGTTCGGCAAAAGCTGTCGTGCATGAAACGAGTGACTCATGGCGACACGACTACTGGAAGCTATCCTTGATAAAGCATCTCCTCAATTGAAGCCAGTATAGTCAGAATTGCATACTCCTGTAACGTGCTCCGTAGCAGCTGATCTTATGAGAAGCACCCAATACGTGGCCTGTCACTGTCCCAGTCCGTGCGGTGGGTGATACCGCAACGCTTGTCAGCCAGAAGCTGAGCAAGCGCGTCCTCGGACCAGTACGACGGATTTGTGCAAAACTATGTGCTTGCCTGGGACCTGGAAAAAAAGCCTTCCTCCGCAGCTCTCCAGTTCAATTCGCTCTACGTGCAGAAGCACCATGTCCGGCACAGACCACACTTGCCGTGTGTCCAAGTGGTTGCAATGCCCAGGAAAGCGACAGGAGACACCGACGATGTGCACCGGATCCTCACATGGGTTTGCTACCACATCACACCAGCAACAATGCACAAGCATTGGAGGCCTCCGTCTGCACTCGAAGGGGAGCTTCCCTGCCTCAAAGGTTGCGAGGTCCCGGCGAAATAGGAATGCGCTATGGCACCGCTATGGAGCGCAACAATCAGCAAGCTGACAATTTGTGCTGGGAAATCGTCGCAACGACTGCAGCTTCCAGCCTCCAGCAGTTTTGGCCCTCGTAATCCGCCTTGCAGAAACTGATGGAAAGATCCAAGAAGACCTTCTGGTACCCGAGCAAACCCAGCCTTACGGATTCCGCAGGCAAGCTCCGTGTCGATGGCGTTGCCCCAAAGCTTTCCACGAGCTCCTGAACTTCCAAACGATGGTTTGGCGCTTGCCCAAGTCACCACCCCGGATCCTTCAGCGTGCCGGCATGGAGGACGTTGCTCACCAGCACGCGCGAGTTCAGAAACTCGGAAGTGTAGATGCTCATCATGTTGGTAAAGGCCATGACCTGTGCGCATCTCGCATATTGCCAACCGAAACTCTATGACGGGTACGCTTTCTGCCCAACTTTGACACCTTGCCGCAACTGGATGCTACACGCACAGCTGCAAGCTCGCAGTGATCGAACCTGCAGTGACGTGAGCCCAAGAGTAGCTATCGGAGTCGTTGCATCCAGTTCGTCGATGCCGAGTGCATGCAGAAGCTTCCTCAACCGATTCTCACACAAGGATACAATCGAAAAACCTTGCAGTCCTCAAGATCTCACAAACCGCCGCTTGCTACAGGCGGCCCTCCGGTCCATGAGTTGTGAATTCTGGGCTGCTGGGCTGAAGCACATCACGAAGGCTTTCGCAGAGTAATCGTCAGGTGGTTGGAGTCACTAGGCATGCATTGCATCCAAGCTTCGTCGCCAAAGCAATCCACCAGTCAAGGGGCCTTGACTATTTGGATGCATGGCAGACGATGCCCAGAACAACAAGAACATCTACTCAGCACAAGGGGTATCCCCGTATTGGAGCTCATGATTGGGACTGCCTGCTACACCCCATGCACAATCCAAAACACGGCGCTGCTTCGTGCGGAGTGATGCTTGAATGTGCTTGAGGCTCGAGCTTCTGCTGCTCCAGAGGCTCGCCGCCGAAGAGCGCCAAGTCAAGAACCTCTGCAGGCATTATCGTTGGAATGTGCGTTAAGGCAGCTTGGTGGCCTCTGATCTATGCAAGGTTTTGCTTGCGGCAGATCGAAAGCATTGAAGATTGAGGCGGGTTGCAGAAGCCCCGCTACTGATGAAATCAACCCTGCCGAATGCAAAGAAGCAATCTTCGAGCATGTGCCGACCTTGCTTTTGTAAGCCTCTTGCAAGACATGTGATCAAAGTGACTCGGGCTGTGGCCTACCGCCCCGACACAAGTATCAAAGCAATGCCCAAGAGGACTCGGTCGCTACGCGCCATCCACAGTCGGCACCCGTACATTTTGGGAACCAAGGTAAAATTCATGGGGCGAATCATCATATGATGATCCTCGCCGAGCTAAAACGGGAGAAGGACAACTGAAGAGAAGGATTCCAGCGGACTGCGCAAACATTGAAAAGCTATATTCACCAGGGCACGTGATGCTCCGTCGTCTGGTCATGATCATGGGCCAAAGCTGCTGCGAGCTTCCGATCGATCTTGCTGCTAGATTTCGTAATCATGCTCAGCCTGCACCAGTCGAATGTTCAGTGCTACAGTCGCACTGGAAAACTGCATGATACCACCGACAAAGGTACGCTGAACGCTCTGACTTGGTGACACTAATGGCAAAAGAGACATGTGCAACGTAGAGTTGAGTCCGAGTAGCTCCTCGCTGACCAAGTGAGCAGTCTGTGGAAGTGGGAAAGACACGCCGAACCGGGCGACGGCCGCAACTTCTCGACAGATGGCTGCCATATCCACATCCCCAGGTTCCGGATGCCGCTTCTGGACCATCAATGCCAAAGAATCTCCAGAGTTCTCATCGGACTGCCTTACCAACACAAACCTCAAGCTGGGAAATCGCTTCTCGAGCTCTTGCTCCATTCGCTCGGGAAACACTTTGTAGCCATTGATCTTCATCCTGACAGCAGGGAACACCCCGAGACCATCCGAGAAGCTGCTCTCCGAAGTGCAGCCAAGCATCATGTTGTTCAAGCGACCGACCTCGAAAACTGAAGGCTGGTCAATTGGCACGTCTGAGAAAGAGATGGCCCCAGTGCTACCAATTGCCACCAGCATGACAGTAGGACGCCAACTAAGAAGACGTAGCCATCAACATCTTGGGTGCCAATGTCTCCGGTCCGGTACCAGCGCGTGCCGTCTGCGTCTGTGAAGAATACCCGCTTGTTCACCTGCGCAGGACCAGGAGCGGCTGCCCGATCGTCCGGGGTCCCTAGCGGCCCAGCGCCTCGTCTGTCGCAGGCCCCCAATAGCCCTCAAACATGGACGGCCTCAGAGGCCAGCCGCGAAAAACTTCAAAAAAACCAGGCAGGCGACGCACGCCTTCGGCCTAAGCTTCTGTAGGCTCCGTGCCCAGCCAAACAAATCTCCTCAGGCATGGCATGGCTCACAGGTGATGCCTCCCGAAGGCCCGGAACCAGTTGCAGCTCGATCGGCGCCCTGGATGCCATGACCAACTGGGCGAAGGTTCTCGTCGAAGAGACGCAGGCGCAGGTGTTTGGCAGGCTTGCCTACCTGAGTGATTTGAAGCTTACACTGCACAGTAGCGGATCCCGACTACTCTCTTTGTCTGCTCCTGTCAGCCTTTGCTTGCCGAAGGCGCAGAGCTCGGCTTTGGTGCTCCAACAGGATTTGCACACACCAGCTGCGTTGCCTGAAACGGAAAAGGTATCAACGCAGAAGTGCACGACAGTGCACTTTAAACTGATCATCCTTAAGGGTTGCACTTGCTACGCTCACTGGCAAGCAGACGGTGCTCTCCGCTTGCGGCTACATTTCGCTGCATTCGGTTGATGTACTGCGTCTTGTTCCGGCCTCTGTCATCCCATAGGCGACCACGACCTGTGTGTTGAAGAGGTGGCGCATCTGGTCCACGAACTCCTGGCTGCAAAGCCATGCACCAGGTCTGGAGATGGACCGGGCATCTCCTGTGGAAGGCAGCCGCTGCCGTTTCGGATGAATCGCACACGATGCGCCGAGCGCTCCAGCACCTTTCACACCCTAGGCCCGGCTAAAATCTGCATTCAGATCCCCGCTCCACCCTTGGACCTGCTCCCGTTGTTGCTCGATAATCTGCTTGTGCATCTCCGGCACAGCCGTGTACCTTCGATGTGCTTCGCTTCGTGTTCACCGGCACTGAGCAATGGTCACTCCGCAGTTGAATCTATAACGGCACCAACATTACTCACTATTCACTATCTATAAATATCGTCCAGGAGTTCCAGCAGGACACCAGGTGACACCCTGCTTCAAGACAACGTTCCAGTGATTTGCCGCATTGAACTTCGAGAAGATGACGGTACCTGCAGGTTTTTGGCATGGGTCGGGCCTGTGGCTTGCAAATGCCCTCGGCTTTGATAAAACGAAGAGATACCCTGACCAGGTGGCCAAGGCACCGGCACTGGCGAGGGTGGACAGTAATGGTGTCACCAAACCGCCCACCGTGACCATGGGCTGCGAGATGTAAGTTCTTGGAGCGCAGCAACCATGGCGCATACTGCTGGAACCGGAGATTGCAGCAACACTGAGACATCGGCATGTCGTCCTCCGTGAGTTCGTAAGCATCAATGACGGAGCCAATAGCAGCCGCGACATTGCCCCTGCATAATTGCATGCCCAGCACTTGGTTGACGCACCTGACTCTTTTCAATCCTTGCCTGGTCAGCGGAATAGACTTCGGCTTGCCAGTGCTGCCGGAGGTTCGTAGAAGCAGCACAGTGTCCTGATGGGTGATATGGCATCGTGAGAATGGCGGCAGAATAAAGGCACAGTATCGCTTGGCCATCAAGGCAAAGGCCCACAATCACAAGACACATGCAGCCAACGAGTTACGACCGGAACACGCTGAAGCACACCCAATTTGCGAGTTTATGTTGCCCTGGAATCATTGGATTTCATGAAGTGTTTTCTTTTCTGCGAGGGTTCCTGTTATCATGCTTGTGAGTAAGCTGATAAGCTTATGCGGTTTCTTGTGAGGAACCGGATGCTCGTGAGCAAGTTGGTGAGAAACCGGGCGGGGAGGGACCTCACGGGGTCGGAGGGCCAGGAGCTGTGGGGCAGGGCCGAGGGGAGCGACACCTCACAGCGAACCTCGCAAATCTCGCCGGACTTCCTGGACCACACAGCCTCTCTTACAGTAAACCTCACAGGATTCTCACAGAAAACAAGTTCTGGCTTCCTGTCCTCTGGAAGCGTACTTCTGGACGTATGAGTTGGCGCTTCCTGAAAAAACCGGAGAAAGCGGTCTGACCAAGGCTTGGCTCTGCGAGTCTGCGCATGGCATGCGCCCGCATGTCGTCCTTGTCTCGCCGAAGCTGCACCGACGGGCAGGCCACGTCTGTACGAAAAGACAGCCGCCAGGTGGGCACGCCTGGGCTCGAATTTTGCATGGCATGGCAACGACGCGAAGGCCGAACGCCTCGTGCTGCTGCCACACCCGCGAAGGTGGTCACCTCAGTGTTTCGTTTCACGAACATTTCCTTCTGTCATTCCGAAGTCCGAGTCGTGTGCTGCATCTCGACTTTGCGGGTCAAGAGATGCCACATCGATCTCCGGAAAGATCGCCACCTCCACCTGCAGGCATACACGCTTCTCCGGCCTTCCTCTTCTGAACAGAGGATGTCAATGGTCCAACCCCCCGGAGGATGGAGAAGTAGGTCTCCCTTTCAATGCTTCTGGCAGCATGCACGCGACTTTCCGCACAGTATCTTGAACGGCCTGCAAGAGTGGCCGCAATTCCATCATCGTTGTATATCTCACTCTCCTTCTCTCCATAATTACTTCACCTCCAGACCCTGGGCGAGCTTCTGATCGATGAGATATTATCTTTTCTTTCATCAGGCTAATACTCCAAAACGCTTTCGTCCACCGCGTCAAGCTATCGCCGGGACGATAACTCCCGCCAAAACACTGTGCCAAGTCCGATAGCAGCCCCTGGTCTTCAGGAAAAGATGTAGCATGTGGTTGGAATTGTTCCACGAAGTCTGCAAGGATGGCTTCTGTTTCGGGCCATGTGGGCACAATTGTGCATGTGCATTTGCTTTTGTCTGCTCGCGAATACTGCAGCTTGACTATGACTGGGCTCGGCCCTGCCGTGCACGTCTCGTATATCCCAGAAAACTTTGTGAGATGATGACCACCATCATGATCATGACGACGCCGATGAGTTCTCTACATGAGATAGGTAAACTTTGCAAATACTCGTGAACGCGTATATTATGGAAACGGCAAGAACCTGATAACAACCACCATGGTGGCGATGCTGATGAGGAGCACACTTCTGACAAGGATGGGTAAATCTCCCAAGATTGAAAGCATTAGCTTTGCCGGTTATGCATCCAAAAGGACAGATACAGACACAACGATGCAGGTCTACGGTCACATACACGAATGTAGGCACACATTTCTTGCTTGATGACCTGTCTTTAAGCGGAGCCTCCGCGGACCGCTTCGGCGGAGCTTTCGCTTGCTTCCGCGCACGCGGTCCCGTGCAAGTTTTTTTGGCCGAAACGAACCATATCGATGGGCGCAGTTTGTCTGAGGCGAGGGCAAGCTCGAAAGCATCGCTCAGCTCTTCGTCTGACAGGAATTGGGCGTGGATGTTCAGCGGCATCGCGACACAGCGCCTCCAATGCGTGCTTTGTTGTTCAAGCTCGCCAAGCTAGCCGAGTGACTGGCGATTGAGCTCTGGTTTCCAGCAATGGCTTCGGGTTCTGGGGTCGCAAATGCTGTATGATTTTTGCCCGAGCTCTGCGCATCGCTCTTTTCTCTAAACCCTCAGGTCGTGAGGATCAAAGTCCAAGCGGCGAACCATGCTTGGCAGCACCCAGAAGGGCAACCAAGTAGTGCACAGGCGTGCCGAGCGGGAAGCATAAACCCAGAAGCAGCAAGGAGCCGTCCCTGGGCAAGATACGTCAACCGTTAGAGCCAAAACCCTGGCCGTAACAGCTCTATAGGCTCTATAGCATCAACTCTCCTCTGGCACGCGACTAACGCAAACACGCGTATGTTGCAGCATGCTCTTGAAGACTTTGTAATGCGATTGCTACATACCTAGTTTTCTCTCGTTCACAACAGCTACAGTATCATGGCAAGCGCATGCATGCATTTGCGGACGCACACAAAGCATCGACATCTTGCTTTTTCTCAGTATATAGGTGCATGTGCTCATAAACTCACTCACATACCGTGCGATATTTAGCTTCTCTTACTTAATTTGGCCTTACACCAGCAGGGCGCTTGTCTTGGTGCATTAAAGTCTGTACGAGGAGACTAGGGGCAGAGCTACGAACCTCACACTCTTAAAGCCTCAAGCCTGAAGCCCAGTCCCAAGAACCTCGCACCACAACCTCAAAGCCTGCACTCAACTGTTAGATCCAATCACAGAAACACTTTACAAGGCCCCTGCATACAGAAACAACTTCAAAGCGCTCCACGCGCTGTGGAGAACCCTCTATTGTTGTGGCCCTGCTCTTTACTTGAGCTGCGAAAGTACATTCGATAGAACAACAGATTGACGTAAGCCCCCCTTCAATCAAGCCGTTGATGGAGTCCCTGGAGCAAGGATTCATTTGGGATACCTTACTTTGCATATCGATGAATACAAGGTTTCCTCAACGGTATTTTCAGTGCAATATGCAACACAAACCTTTGTGGCACACCCAATGTAAAAGGTATGTAACGGGTGCCGGCCACGGCAAACCAGGAATATTCAAACACAAGTATCTCCGGGGTGATCGTAAGGAATGTTTTCGCATTTACGCATGCTATGCTGTTGCCGAGACGAGGTTCGTCCGATCCCTACCACGGCAAGGTATAGGCGGGAGTGCCGCATGAGCAGACCAGCGGATCCGTGAGATGAAAGGTTTCACAGAACAATCGATTTTCATCCCGGCAGATGAGGAGACAAGCGCTCCGAATCACTTCTGACATGCATGGACCTCGTGCATTGACAAACATGCCTGCATATTCCTGCAACCGTGCAGGTCAAGAACATGGTCTGGCCCAGCACAAACACGCCAATCCCTGAGACCGTGCTTAGTGAGTCAATTTGTGCAAGCCAAGGGGGCTCTGTCTCGTGTGACCTGGCGAGATCTCGGGCAAAGTCATCCTCGGCATTTTGCAAAACTGTCCCTCTGCAGCTCCTCAGCCGCTTCCTTCTGTACGGATCAGTCACGAACCTAGGACCTAGGCTTAAGCAACCTGACAGTTTTACATTACAGGGACAGAGAGAGTCATTGCAAGAGCTGCCGAACGCTGAAGACTTCAAAACCTAGGCCTAGGCCTTGGAATGATTGCTCGTTTCAGCCACACTCATCACGCACTCCGAGGCAAAGCCTTAGGAAACAAACAAGTCACGTTGTCGAGTCGTCACCTGCTTCATATAAGCCACATCAGCCTTGACAATGCTATTTCGATGCTGCATCTTTAGTGGGGTGTGGCTCATCCCCTAGGCTTTACTCCTCAGAAGCCATGACCTGGAGCACGACCAAGCATCCGATTGGCTTACATTGCGTGCAAGCTAGATGCCACCAATGCTTTGAGCTGGCTATACGAGATGGTGGAGAGTGCCTCCCCCGTCTGCTGGTCAACGTGAACGAAGCACGGCTTCCTTGGCATCCAGAAGTCTTGCTCGCTTCGTGCGGGTCATCTGGTCCGCCATGCGAATGTATGCTTGCATGTGTGTGCGTGTGTGTCTGTGTGTGTGTGCCTGTTTTAGTTTTAATGCCAAAACGGTAAGGCACCCCCGCTCTCTCCACAAGGATCCGCACCTCATGGTTATGGGGTGAGTTCGAAAATGTCTTCCGATTCGGGTGACAGCTGGTTGCTTCTGTTGTTGAATAGCCGATGGACAGTCGCATTCGTTGTTGTCTGTCAACCCTTGTCGCTGCCGGACGACTCTTCTTTGACAGAACGTTTTGCTTTTGCAACTATTGTGTGCAAAAGCATTCCAGAGAGTACCGTCGAAAGCATACGTTCAACATGTAGCCGAACGATCAACTAAGGCCGCTATTCAATGGACGGCCGTCATATGACGTCTTTCCTAAAGTGTCAGGATACGTTTTGATTGCTGCAAAATTGTGGCAGTATGCAGGTTGCTTGAGTGGGACAGAGAATACGAGTGACGGGACATCTGTTTTTTCCGTGCGCCAGCTGTCTGCACTTGCTCCTCATACATATTCTGATGAAACGAGATTGTCAAGCACGAGAAGCGAATGGAACATAGAACAATATGTGATGACCGAGCTCAGGTATCCCTAAAAAACTGGACATGGCCCCTTCATGATGCCTTGTTAGAATGACTCTGCCTCAGTGGCTTCAGCAGCACATTAAAACATCAGGCAGGACCTTAAGCTGGGCATTCCAACATGCAATTTGGCGTGTGCTTGCTGAAAACCATGCTCGGATGTGGCTCTTAATGTAAGCCCCTGACATGAGTCTACGTTATTTGTGAAGCGAGAGCATCCGTCTAGCTTTCTGCTCCAGCACAAGCATACAGGGAGGGAGTCCAGGCTGAGCGGCTCGTTGATTCCCTTGCGCAGGCCATCATCTGCAAATATGCCGAGCACGTTCATGGCAGCGCAGGCTCGCTCGGGAAATCACGTCTGTATTCTCGATCCAAGAGAATCTGAGGATGCAGATCCGGCACCGCTGACCGTTTCTAACATCAGAACAGGCTTCCAGCTCCCGTGTCGAGGGAGCTCTTGAAGCAGCAAATGCTCTCTCTTTTTCCATGCTGTTCACGGTGCCCCCATGCAACTGGAGGTCAGTAGTGGCAATTCATTAACGCCTCGTAGAAACCTGCAGCTTCGGAATAGTGGGCACAGCTCTCTCATTTGAGAGGCTGCTCTAAGCATTGCTCTAGTGGAAAATAAATCGAGGCCAATGCCCTGGCCCCTTTGGCCAGGATTCTGTACAATCATGCAGCGGAGATGTTCTTGCACGCTTAGACTTTGGACTGTCTGTGTGTTTTGATACCATGTGCAAAACTCTCGCACCACTAGAGAAACCAGCGAGTCGTGGCCTTTTGTACAGCTCAGTCATCGCTGGTTCCAGCCTCCTTTACTGGCTTTAGCCTGGCAGCGAGAGGGTCGGAATCTTCGGCTCTCTCTCCTGCTTGCAAGAGGTGTGGGGCCTTCTTCGGCTCTCTCTCTCGGTCTTTCTTCTTTCTTGCGACAGGGTTGTGGTGGTTGCCTCGCCGCCGCGCACGGGTGCGCCCCCGCCTATTATATCTTTTCCTTCACAAGGGTAAGAGGAAAGGGAGCGAAAATGTCTCTCCCTCTCTTTCCTTCCCATCTTGGCCTGGCCAGTCGGGCTTTGGCGGAAGCAAAGGCTGCAGCCACCTGGTGAGAAGAGTCGCCACTGCTGCACTCCTTGTCTACGTTTTGTTTTTGCAGGCTCATGAAGCCACGCCATGCCATGCCAGTTTCATGCGAGTGCGCCTCTTTGGAGACCACCACGGGACTTTGATCACTTTCTGCTCGAGACTCTGCCGGCTCTGCCTCAAATGACACTCTGCTCCGACCGGGAGGCAGGCGCGACCCTCTTGGCCCTGGCTGCCTCCTTTGCCTCCTCGGGGTTGCCAGGCGCAGGCCTGAGGACGTTCAGTGGGGCATCACCGTCTCACCGGATTCGGATCGGGACGGAACACAAAAGCCAGCAATCGGCCCCCAGACGTGGGCGCATGTGCATGCACGTGCTGGACCGCTAGACGGAGCAGACGCATCAGCATACACGACACATGCAGGAGGGCGTTGAGATTTCGCTCTGCTGCTGGATAGTTTGTCAGGGGACGGTCTGGCACACGATGGCAAACCACGCGTCAAACGATGTCAGACGACGGCTGGACATCTGATAGAGATGGTCAAGGAAGGCATGGAGAGATCCATGAGCAGTTGAAGCGGGAGAGTCCTCGATGAGTCTGCATATCCTATGTAACGTCCGTCATGCGATTAAGCACGAGTAAGCTTGACAGCCAGGACCGGATGGGGATGTACTCACTAGCTCGTGGGATGACTTTGACCACGAGTTCCTTCGAGCACATACGCATCTTCGTACGCCCGAAGCTTATGAATTTTGTTGTCTTTGGATCTCACCAACCCGTGTGATTCAAGCGTTGAGTTTTGGCGCCGGCTGCGATGATCTGCAAAGCAGGTGTCAGTGACACGGAGCGAGCTGGGTCAGACGTCTTAGCTATGCAGATCTGCAGCGTCTTGGAAACAACCTCTCTGATGCTCGTGCCTTGTGACACGCTCATACCGCTGGCCAGAACCTCAGCCACAGTCCGTGCAGTGTCGATCCAGGGTGTCATGAATCTAGGCACACAGCAGAAATGGAAAGCCCAATAAGAAGCATGCCCATGCTTGATGAGGACGCCTCTTTCCTTCAAGCCGAATTGTGATCAGCGGAAATTGTGCTCTGTCCACCGTCTCACATCTGACTCAGTTTGATTTTCTCTGGACTGCAAAACGCGAGATCCGCGAGATATGCGTCACCGAGACCCTCCGAGCACCGCGCTCGATCTGGGTCTGGCGCTGAGAATCTGCCAGGCAATTCGCAGAACATCGAGAGGGGCACACGAGCGTCTCTGAATGGGTGCTCGCCGTCTCGGATGCCATGCAATCGCCCTTGCCTTCCTCTTCCCCACTGTGCGGCGAAACAGGAGATGCTCCTTGCAGCGAGGCGGATGGGCGAAGACATGCGAAGACTGGTGCTTCCGGATCAGTCGTTCAGAGACACGGACAGCAGCTGTGCTTTTCGAACATCCGCGGATCACCGGCCTTTGGCAGCTCGCAGCGCTGCAAGCGCCGTCTCCGACTTAGAAGATCGCGCACCTGCAAATGCTCCCGGGTTCTGCTACTTGCACGGGCCTAGAAGCTGGGACTCGCCGCAGCTCGACTCGGACATTCTCGGATCCTCGCCTGAGTTTCGGCGCCATGTCTCCAGAGCAGAGGAATGATGGCCCACAGGCGGCACGCCTTACTCCCCAGCGGTTCCAACCGTCGAAGTGAGTGACATTCTCTGGCCTGCTGGGAAAACTTCCGGAACCCGTCCATCCTCGTGCTCGTGCGAATGAAAGTCACTGCGGCAGTCAACTCAAAGAGCTGGGGAAACGGCTCGGCGTGCGGACCTCGTAGACTTAGAGGCTTAGCATGTCAATTTGCAATCGACAATAACCATGAAAGCACGCTCGGGGCCGTGCTGCTGCTCCCTCCGAACCTTGCGGCGACTGTCGCTGGAGAGGGTGGCGAGGGGTGCACGCCAGCACCGACCAAGTCCCCCGCCGCTGAAGGCAAGACTTTTGGAGGCTCGCGCCCTGTCTCGAGACCTCAAAGGTCTCAGATTGGAGAAAGGCGCTTGCAGACTCTCAGGTCCTGTTGTCAGGCCGGGCTCGAAACGGGGACTCGAAAAGTGGAGGCCGGCTCTCCTGCCATGAGCATTTGCCTGGCTTGTCTTTTCTGTACCCGTACCCCTTCGATCCATCCTTTGAGGCGTCGCCTTTCCATGTGCCTGGCCACAGGTACGGCAAAACACCGGGTTCCGTTGCGGCAGGCTAATGGCATCGTGCTTAGATGATGACTCTGGAGGGTGTTGACTGCAAGGAAGATGCGAAGGAGGGCGACCTCAGAGGGACTTGCAAATTCCTCTTTTGAGGGGACCTCGAGCTCACGGAATTGCATAGTTCGTCTTTGGAGCTTCCGATGCGCGAGGGAAGTCGTGCGGTTCGCCAGGAAGCCAAGACCAATCCGATAACTCCGACAAAGTGTCTCTCTCGCGGACGACGACTTCGTGCTCGCCCGAGCGAATCCTCTGAGCCGCGCTTCGATGTAGCTCCCGACACGCGTCGGTCTGGGTTCTGGCACACCATGTCTTGTTGGCGTCAGAGCCGCACACGTTTGCCCAGGTTTTTGGCTTTGGATGATCTTGACTGGCTACAAGTATCGATACATGCAGCATGCAGTACGAGCACGCTTCACGGAAACTTTGCCGAGGCTCGAGCGGAATTGTTGCAATGTCTGGTGCCTCCAGGCGCTGAAGCTGAGCGCTCTCCTCCAGCCGCGCAGACACCTGCCAACGAGTTCACCAATCAGGATCCCAGAACCTTGCGGCCCTCTATCGCCTCGCCTCCTCATGCGAAAGTCCAGACAGTCCCCGTGCCTGTCGAGAAGACTCTCCATGAGTTTACCTTGAGAAAACTACAGTAATTCCGACGCCTCCTCTTGTGCATCCTGCAGGTCATAGGTGAGAACGGAACATCAAGCCATCAATATCGAAATCGAGATCTTAAGCTCCTGAATCTGCCTCCACAGGCTGTCAGTGACCTGGCAAACTGCGAAGGGTCGCTCTCGTCTGCTCATGGAAATGGCTGCATCAGAGTTCAACCTAAACCGAGATGAGACTAAGGACACACTCAGACGCACACAGCCGACAGCGTGTCCTGCCTCCGTGTGCTCGGCCCGACGTCTCTCAAGCTCCTGTCAACTACACCCCACTTCGTCTTTCGGCGACCAGGACCGTGGAAGGTAGGGATCCAAGGGGCGCCAACCAGTTTCGTCGTTAGGACTTAGGAGGGCCCGCACCACAGAAGCCCCGAAACTTGAAGCCCCACTGCCGGGCAAGCCTGGTGGATGAAGAATTCTGGGACGCGACAGGACAGGTGTGCTTCATTGCGCGGGCCGTTGATTTGAATTTGGTCTCCCCTCTCAGTGCGAATCGCAGCTTCTGCAGTAGTGTCTAGAGAAAACTTCTAGACGCTCGAAGCAAAAGATGATGTTGATTGGGGCAATGGTGTTGGGGCTCGGAATCAGACCCTTCATCAGAGTAGCGGAGTCGCTTCGTAGACAACCCATCACTGCGGCCCATACAAGTAGCAAAATGGATGAGCCGAACTGCTCAGCTGGGCCTGACGATGGACTGCCACTTCTCGTTGACGGTCCTCAGAGTTGCGCATGCTTTCCTACAGGTTTTCCACGGGAGCATGGCGTCTGCGCGCCCACTCAATCAACCAATCTCGGCATGTCACCGTCAGTGACGTCACCGACGCCTCGAACCGGCGCTTCCATAAATCCGCATCTTCCTCGAAACGCCAGCGCTGTCAAAGTGACTAAGCATGGATGAAAGTTGTCGTTTCGAGTGCGAGTGGTTTGCGCGACACTTCTGATTTCTGCGATCCAGTAATTTGGACCAAAACCAACGTAAGGTCAGCGCCTCTGCTCCAGCGGACTGGACGCTTTCTGGAGATGAAGCATCCTGCACTTGCGGATCTAAGTCACTGCCACATACAGGCGGGGCTGAGAGGCCTCTGGTGGCTGCCGGGACAGACTGGCGGCCTGGTGCTCTCTGTAATGTATGGAATGATTGGAATGCACGAAGCGCAAACTGCGGAGGCCTGACGATGAGCATCCTGTGCAGCATTGTCAAAGCGTCTGCAGACATCACATCCTGGGCTAGTCGGCCTTGATCTTCCTCAGAAGATCGCGCTTGACCTCTGCTAGCTCTGCACACGGGACACTAGGAAACCGGCATGGCTTCAGGCTCGCAAGCAGAGCAATGCTAGCGGCTGCTAGCATTCTTCCGATGCCTCTGCATGATCTCGTCGGTGTTTCTCCTGTTCCTGCCATGAATCCCGGCTCATGGTCAATGCTCTCAAGCGTTCGTGCTGCAGCAAGGCGGCTTGCTGCCGGTTTGCCACATTGCGCTGCAGAGCCTCGCGAGCCGCTGTTTGCTGCTGCTGTGGCGGGATTGATTGGACAAGTTGCATCGCAACTGCTGCAGATCCCCACATCACTGCATCCACTTTTTGGGACAATGTCTCTAGATGTCGCTTGGAACTGGGGCGATTGCTTCGCAGTTTGCATCCCAATATCAAAAGCAACAGTTATCGGCAGCACACGTCTGCATGAAAGCAACCACAACGCAAGACAGGTTGCTAATCTTGTTGCTGTTCTAAGTGCCCTTGCACACCAAACGAAGTTGAGCCTTCAACTGTCGACATGAAAACCCACTACTACTTGCTGACTACTCCTACTACTCCTACTACTACTACTACTACTACTACTACTACTCCTACTACTACTACTACTACTGCTCCTACTACTACTACTGCTCCTACTACTACTACTGCTCCTACTACTACTTACTGACTACTCCTACTACTCCTACTACTACTACTACTACTACTACTACTCCTACTCCTACTACTACTACTACTGCTCCTACTACTACTACTACTACTACTACTCCTACTCCTACTCCTACAACTACTACAACTACTACTACTACTA